GCTGGGGTGTGGCATAAGCAAAATGGGGTGGGGCAGGGGCGTGGCATCACCAAAATGGGGCGTGGCAGCACTGCCAGGGTGTAGCATCACCAAAATTGGGTGGGGCATGGGCGGGGCATCGCCAGAAGGGCGGGGCAGGGGCGTGGCATGTGCGGGGAAGGGGCGTGGACTCACCAAAATGGGGTGTGGCATAACCAAAATGGGGTGTGGTGCCACCAAAATGGCGTGTGGCAGGGGTGTGGCATCACCAAAATAGGGTGTGGAATCACCAAAAAGGGTGTGGCATGGGTGGGGCATCACCAAAAGGGTGTGGTGGGGTGTGGCATCACCAAAATGGGGTGTGGCATCACCAACAGGGGAGTGGCATTAACGCCGGGGCGTGGCATCAGCAAAATGGGGCGTGGCATGAGAGGGGCAGGGGCGTGGCATCACAAAAGGGGGAGTGGCATGGGTGTGGCATTAAAGCCGGGGCGTGGCATCACCAAAATGGGGAGTGGCATGGGCGGGGCATTACCAAAAGGGTGTGGCAGGGGCATGGAATGGGCGGGGAAGGGGCGTGGCATTGCAAAAAAGGGTGTGGCAGGGGCGTGGCATCACCAAAATGGGGCGTGGCATCACTGCCAAGGTGTGGCATCATCAAAATGGGGCGTGGCATGGGCGGGGCAGGGGCGTGGCATCACCAAGAGGGTGTGGCATCACCAAAATGGGGTGTGAAATGGGTGGGGAAGGGGCGTGGCATCACCAAAATGGGGCGTGGCAGGGGCGTGGCATCACCAACAAGGCGTGGCAGGGGCGTGGCATCATTTTTGTGGTGTTTTGGGGTCATTTTGGGGTGTTTTGGGGTAATTTTGCGGTGTTTTGGGTCATTTGGGGGTATTTTGGTGTCATTTTGGGGTATTTCAGGGTAATTTTGGGGTGTTTCGGGGTGATTTTGTGGTGTTTTAGGGTAATTTTGTCGTGTTTTGGGGTAATTTTGTGGTGTTTTGGGTCATTTTGGAGTGTTTTGGGGTCATTTTGGGTTGTTTTGTGGTCTTTTTGGGGTAATTTTGTGGTGCTTTGGGGTAATTTTGGGGTGTTTCAGGGTAATTTAGGGGCATTTTGAGGTGTTTTGGGTCATTTTGGTGTGTTTTGGGGTAATTTTGGGGGTAATTTTGGGATGTTTTTGGTCATTTGGGGGTGTTTTCGGTCATTTTGGTGTGTTTAGGGGCATTTTTGTGTGTTTCAGGGTAATTTTGTCATGTTTCGGGGTAATTTTGGTGTATTTTGGGTCATTTTGGGGTGTTTCTGGGTAATTTTGGTGTGTTTCAGGGTAATTTTGTCATGTTTCGGGTAATTTTGGTGTGTTTCAGGGTAATTTTGTCATGTTTCGGGTCATTTTGGTGTGTTTCGGAGTAATTCTGGTGTGTTTTGGGGTAATTTTGTGGTGTTTTGGGGTATTTCGGGGTAATTTTGGCGTGTTTTGGGGTAATTTTGGTGTGTTTCGGGGTAATTTTGTGGTGTTTTAGGGTAATTTTGACGTGTTTCGGGGTAATTTTGCGGTGTTTTGGTCATTTTGTGGTGTTTTGGGGTAATTTCGGGGTACTTTGGGGTTATTTTGGGGTGTTTTGAGGTCATTTTTTCGTGTTTTGGGGTAATTTTGTGGTGTTTTGTGGTAATTTTGGGGCATTTTGTCGTGTTTTAGGGTCATTTTATCATGTTTCGGGGTAATTTTGGGGTGTTTTGGGCTCACCTCGTGCTCCAGCGAGCTGTACTCGCCCTCGGTGTTCTCCCTGACGATGAGGATGTCGATGTCCCGGTGCCGCGTCTCCACCCCGGGCAGGCTCTGGCAGTGGATCACGTTGGCGTACAGATCCAGGCTGGTCCTAAACCCTCCCCAAAATATGCAAATCAGCACCCAAAATATGCAAATAGATCCAAAAATACGCAATTCAAGCCCCAGGTTATGTAAATTGACCAAAAAAAAAGCAAAATTAACCCCCAAAAAAATGCAAATCAAACCCCAAAATAGGCGAATTTACCCCCCAAAAAATGTAAATCAATCTCCAAACCCAAAGTATTTAAATCAACCCCAAAATATGCAAATTCACCCCCAAAAATATGCAAATCAAACCCTGGACCCAAAATATATGAATCTACCCCAAAATATACAAATCAAACCCCAAGGTATGCAAATGAACCCACAAAATATGTGAATCAACCTCCAAATCTATGCAAATCAGCCCCAAAATATGCATGTAAACACAAATATGCAAATCAACCCCCCAAAATATGCAAATTGACCCCAAAAATATACAAATCAACCCCAAAATAAGCAAATCAAACGCCAAACCCAAAATATGCAAATTGACCCCAAAAATATACAAATCAACCCCAAAATATGCAAATGAAACCTCAAACCCAAAATATGTGAATCAACCCCAAAAAATATGCAAATCGACCCCAAAATATGCAAATTAACCCCCAAAATAGGTGAATCAACCCCAAAAATATGCAAATTAACCCAAAAATATGCAAATCGACCCCAAAATTATGCGAATCAACCCCAAAATAAGCAAATCAAACCCCAAAATATGCAAACTGACCCCCAAAAAAATGTTAAGCAACCCCAAAATAAGCAAATCAAACCCCAAAATATGTAAATTGACCCCAAATATATGCAAATCAGCTCCCAGAATATGCAAATGAGCCTCGCAGCACTCACCTGATGAGATTATTCCGAGATTTGTGGGTGGGGGGGAGGTTGTGGTTGGTCTCGATGTTCCCTGAGGGGGAAAAAATGGGATTGGGGGAAAAATTGGGGATTTTGGGAGGAATAGGGATTTTGGGAAGATTTTCAGGGGATTTCGGGAAGATTTTCAGGGGATTTTAGGACGATTTTGAGGGGATTTTAGGAAGATTTCGTGGTGATTTTGGAAGGATTTTTAGGGGATTTTGGGATGATTTTGACAAGATTTTGGGAAGATTTTGAGGGGATTTTGAGGGGATTTCAAGAGGATTTTGAAGGGATTTTGGAAGAATTTTGAGGATTTTGGGAGGATTTTGAGGGGATTTTGGGAGGATTTTCAGGGCATTTTGGGAAGATTTTCAGGGGATTTTGGGAGGATTTTGAGGGGATTTTAGGACGATTTTGAGGGGATTTTAGGAAGATTTCGTGGTGATTTTGGAAGGATTTTTAGGGGATTTTGGGATGACTTTGAGGAGATTTTGAGGGGATTTTAGGAAGATTTTGAGGGGATTTTGGGAGGACTTTCAGGGGATTTTGGGAGGATTTTGAGCTGATTTTGGGAGGATTTGGGGAGGGTTTTGAGAAGATTTTAGGAAGATTTTGTGGGGATTTTGGAAGGATTATGAGGGGATTTTGAGAGGATTTTGAAGGGATTTCAGAAGAATTTTGAGGATTTTTGGAGGATTTTGAGGGGATTTTAGGAAGATTTTGAGGGGATTTTGAGAGGATTTCGAGCTGATTTAGGGAAGATTTTGACAAGATTTTAGGAAAATTTCGTGGGGATTTTGAGGGGATTTTGGAAGGAGTTTTAGGGGATTTTGGAAGGATTTTGACAAGATTTGGGGAAGATTTCGTGGGCATTTTGAGGGGATTTTAGGAAGATTTTGAGGGGATTTTGGGAGAACTTTCAGGGGATTTTGGGAGGATTTTGAGCTGATTTTGGGAGGGTTTTGACAAGATTTTAGGAAGATTTCGTGGGGATTTTGGGAGGATTTTGTCAAGATTTTGAGGGGATTTTGAAGGGATTTTAGAAGAATTTTGAGGATTTTTGGAGGATTTTGTCAAGATTTTGAGGGGATTTTGAGAGAATTTTGACGGGATTTCGGAAGAATTTTGAGGATTTTTGGAGGATTTTGCCAAGATTTTGAGGGGATTTTGGGAGGATTTTGAGGGGATTTTAGGAGGGTTTTGACAAGATTTTGAGGGGATTTCGAGAGGCTTTTGAAGGGATTTCGGAAGAATTTTGAGGATTTTGGGAGGATTTTGTCAAGATTTTGAGAGGATTTTGAAAGGATTTCGCAAGAATTTTGAGGGGATTTTAGGAGATTTTTCAGGAGATGTTGGGAGGATTTCAAGAGAATATTGGGAGGATTTCGGGGAGATTTTGAGGAAATTTCAGGAGGATTTTGAAAATATTTTGGGAGGATTTTGAACAGATTTCAGCAAGATTTTAAATGGATTTTGGTAGGATTTTGCAAGATTCTGAGAGGATTTTGAGATTTTGGGAGGATTTTCAAGGAGTTTTTTGAAGATTCTGAGGGGATTTCAGGAGGATTTTGAGATGATTTTTATGAGGATTCTGAGAGAATTTTGCGACAATTTTGGAGGATTTGGGGATGATTTTGAGGGGATTTTGAGAGGATTTTGGGAGAATTTTGAGGGGATTTTCACAAGATTCCAAGGGGGATTTTGAGAAAATTTTGGGATGATTTTGAGGGGATTTTGGGAGGATTTTGAGGGGATTTTCACAAGATTCCAAGGGGGATTTTGAGAAAATTTTGGGATGATTTTGAGGGGATTTTGGGAGGATTTTGAGGGGATTTTCACAAGATTCCGATGGGGATTTTGAGAAAATTTTGGGATGATTTTGAGGTGATTTTGTGGGAATTTTGGGATGATTTTGAGGCGATTTTGCGGGATTTTGGGACGATTTTGATGGAATTTCAGAAAGATTTTGAGCAAATTTTACCAAGATTCCAAGGAGAATTTTAACTAAACTTCAAGAAAACTTCCAGCTGAATTTCCTAAAAATTTTAGGAATTTTTTGGGGAAGAATCCCTGACCTTTCAGCGCCACCCCGTTGCGCCGGATGGCCATGATGGCATTTTGCACATCGTCCTCTGGCGCCTCCGAATTCACCCGAACCTCCTCAAAATCCACAGGAACACACGCGTGCCTGGAATGGGAATACTCAAACCCATCAAAACCTCCTCTTCACCCCCAAAATTCCCAAAATTCCCCAAAATCTTCCCAAAAATCCCACCTGAAGACCTCTTTGACGTGCAGCATCAGCTCGGGGCCGATGCCATCACCGGGGATCAGCGTCACCGTGTGCCGCCCGCCGTACTTGGCCGGGGGGGGCTGTGGGGACACCGGGGGGGCTCATTTGGGTGTCCCCACCCCCCCTTTGCCGAAATTCCCAATCTTCAGATCGCCCCCAGTGGTTTTGGGATCATCCCAAGTGATTTTTGGGATCATCCCCAGTGGTTTTTGGAGCCCCCAGAGTGATTTTTGGGATCATCCCATGTGATTTTGGGACTCCCTGAGTGCATTTTGGGACCCCCCCCCCAATGGTTTTTGGGATCCCTCCAGTGTTTTTTGGAGCCCCTCAAGTGATTTTGGGACCACCCCCAGTGATTTTGGGATCATCCCAAGTGGTTTTGGGATCACCTGAGTGCATTTTGGGACCACCCACAGTGATTTTGGGATCATCCCCAGTGGTTTTGGGATCACCTGAGTGCATTTTGGGATCATCCCCAATGATTTTGGGACCACCCCCAGTGGTTTATGGAGCCCTTCCAGTGTTTTTTGGAGCCCCTCAAGTGATTTTGGGACCATCCCCATGGATTTTGGGACCACCCCCAGTGATTTTGGGACCATCCCCATGGATTTTGGGACCACCCCCAGTGGTTTCTGGAGCCCCTCAAGTGGTTTTTGGGACCCTCACAATGATTTTCGAGCCCCCAAGTGATTTTTGGGACACCCCAAGTGCATTTTGGGACCACCCATAGTAGTTTTGGGACCATCCCCAGTGATTTTTGGGATCCCCTGAATGCATTTTGGGATCCCCCCCCAATGGGTTTTGGAGCCCCCGAGTGGTTTTGGGACCATCCCCATGGTTTTTGGGACACCCCCAGTGGTTTCTGGAGCCCCTCAAGTGGTTTTTGGGACCCTCACAATGATTTTCGAGCCCCCAAGTGATTTTTGGGACACCCCAAGGGATTTTGGGACCACCCCAAGTGATTTTGGGACACCCCAAGGGATTTTGGGATCATCCCCAATGATTTTGGGATCACCCCCAGTGGTTTTTGGAGCCCCCCAAGTGATTTTTGGGATCATCCCAAGTGATTTTGGGACTCCCTGAGTGCATTTTGGGACCCCCCCAATGGTTTTTGGGATCCCTCCAGTGTTTTTTGGAGCGCCCCAAGTGATTTTTGGGATCATCCCAAGTGGTTTTGGGACTGCCCCAATGATTTTGGGACCATCCTAAGTTGTTTCTGGAGCGCTTCCAGTGATTTTGGGATTCCTCCAGTGATTTTGGGATTCCTCCAGTGATTTTGGGACACCCCCAGTGGTTTTTGGGACCCCCACAATGATTTTTGAGCTCCCAAGTGGTTTTGGAACCACCCCCAGTGGTTTTGGGATCATCCCAAGTGATTTTGGGATCATCCCCAGTGATTTGGGACCACCCCCAGTGATTTTGGTATCCCCCCAGTGGTTTTTTGGAGCCCCCAAAGTGATTTTGGGACCACCCCAAGTTCATTTTGGGGCCTCCCAGTGGTTTTGGGACCACCCCCAATGGTTTTTGGGATCCCCCCAGTGGTTTTTGGAGCCCCTCAAATGCATTTTGGGACCACCCCAAGTGAATTTTGGAACCCCCCCCAATGGTTTTTGGGATTCCTCCAGTGTTTTTTGGAGGCCCCCAAGTGATTTTGGGATCATCCCAAGTGGTTTTTGGGATCATATCCAGTGGTTTTTGGAGCCCCCCAAAGTGATTCTGGGACACCCACAATGATTTTGGAGCCCCCCCAGTGATTTTGGGACCACCCCAAGTGGATTTTGGGACTCCCCCAAGTGATTTTAGGATCGCTTCAGTGATTTTTGGAGGCCCCCAAGTGATTTTTTTGAACTCCCCGAGTGCATTTTGGGGTCCCCCTACGTGTTCTGGGGCCCTCCCGCTGCTTTTTGGGCCCCCCCTGGTACTTTTTGGGGCTCCCTGGTGCTTTTTTTGTTGGATTTTTGGGGCCCCCCCGATGATTTTTGGGGCCCCCCGATGATTTTTGGGGTACTCACGATGCTGCGTTGCTGTGGGAGAGAAGAAAAGGGGGTCATTAGTGACAAATGGGGCTGGGGGAGGGTCGGGACCCCCCTCAAAATAACCCCCAAATCCCCTCCCCCCCCCAAATTTGGGGTTTGGAGCCCTCACCTGTTCAGGAAACTCCCCAAAAAGGGATA